TTTCATCAAAATAATATAAATAATTGTGCTTATTCAAATTTATTTTATCACTGTAGTGAGGGATGATAGAGATAATGAAAAAACATAAAGGAAGATGACTGATTTTGTTGAGCACAAACTAATATAGATTTGTCATTGTCTACCTGTAATGCATTTTAGAGGAACACTTTTCAGGGTAGACAACTGTGTGGTAGTGAGAGAAGGGGGTGCAAGTCTTGTTTGACTTAACGTTTATCTGGTCACAAATTATCACAGTCTGGAAGATCGTTTACAAGGAAGATCAAACTACTGGATTAAAACACTTTATCAAATTCATTAGGGGAGGTAATTGTATTCATATTTAGATGTCTGAACACATGTTCATCAATGCTTTAGTGTTGCTAAATTTTCCTGACTAAAATATTTAAATAATATCAACTTTGAGGTTATGATCCATCCTTGCCAACTAACTCATTTCACAAATGGCACTGATATGAATGCTTCAGCAATAATTGCATTTTATCAGTACTGCTAAAAAAGTAGACCTACATCCAGTTTTATCATATGGTAAACTATAGTCATATGAAATATTGTGTGTATCTTCTTTTGAGTAGTATATTATAGTGGTGTTCTGATTAATTGAAATAATGAAGATTGGTCGAAGTGACCAAACGACCAAGCAATCGATCACATTTTCTCATAATCGAACAAAAACGATTTTGGAACTGCTGTGTTAGTCTTTGAAACACTTGATGATGGAACATATCTTCGAAGTTGTCAGGGCCTGAAAACTTGTTTAATTCTTAGAAAACTCACTTCACTAACTGAAAAGTCATGACAGAATATTTTTTGAAGACTCCGGGATGTTTATTTTAATGATATATTAGTCATCACTTTAAAGTAGCAAGTTGCATCATGTTATACATATCTACAATAACAACCTGAATAGGAAAATCTGAAAAATGATTGTAACCAATTTTTTTCGATGATTGTTCGTTGGTAATGAAGCAATCATCAATTGTGGGATTTCCACCAATTCCCAACATTATATGTTATAGTTGTTGCTGATATGTAATGAACATTTTTTAAAAGAAATGGAATGCTTGAATTAATGATGTTATTCGATCCAGTATGTAGTACGGGTAGGCTAGTCATGTTCATGCATTTAATCATGTACTGCAGAAATAACAATGTCTAGTTTCATATTGCGTTTTTCACCTTGGCAAGGCAACACATTGTTTCCATGATACCTGGCTAACTTTTACCTTTTACACATAGTTCATTTACACATGTATTTTACATAGCTAGATCAAAATCTAAGTGATGTTTTGATAGTTAATCACATCAGTACTTACCACTTACAGATGATTAAAGTTCTTGTAGGGAGTTAGGTATATATAGATTGTGTATTATGTTATTATTGTGTCTCGACATATATTTGATTCATGAGATTGTTTTGTTGGACAATAAAGTTGTTACGTGTTGCACTTTGTTAAGATGGTTGTATTTTTGTTTAAAACATCTATGTGACATTTTGTTGCAGATACATTGATAGATATTATGATCAAGTTGTATTTTTCAGTTTTAAAACCCATTTCTACAATTCTCACAATTTGAGAAATATTGTACATAAGCTTGACTACTCCAGATAAATGCATGTTATTTATACATATTTTAAAGTCTAGTGCATGAGATTTTATGATGAATATACAGTGATTCAGCAGTGAGGTGATAGTAACATCCTACATCCTACATCAGCTGAGAGTTGTAATAGTGAGGTCCCACATGATCAGAGAGGCTACAGTGAAGCCCTAGAGCTGTAGGCTGTTTCAAGGTCCAGTAGTACAGGCTGTATATAGAGGGGACTGCAATCAAAATGTAATGCTTGGTTGACTGGATGATGTTTAGAAATCAGTGAGAAAGTCTTCACTGTGTATGTGTAGATAGGCTCACTATCTGTAGATGTCCTGTATGTGATGGCTGGGAACTGGCTCTTGTTCAATGGTAGGTGGGGCTAGTAGGTTGTCGTTAATCAATGTTCACATGGAACAACTTGATTATTATTTTCACATGAGAATTTTTTTTTTTTTAAATTCTTTCTTTTAAATTTATATTGACATTTTGTTTTTCTTGAGTATAGAATCAAAATCAGTATAAGAGTACATTTATCAAGGGCATTCACGATAGTATTATTGGAAACTCTTAAGTAAATGTATTTTTGATAAATGATTGCAACATGTTTATCATGTTTATTACAAAACTTTGGTACATATTACTTCATTAAAATATGTTTGGGGTTATGTTACTAAGGAGACAGGTTTCTTTACCCTACACTCTAGTATATGAAAGACTGAAGGCATGCTGTAGGCAGTATGCTACCACCAGTCCAAGAAAAATAGACAACTAACAATTAGCAATTTTTCTCCTGAAGCAGACAAATCTATAGTGAACAGTGGGTATAAAATGTGTTCTTTACGACAGAGGATATACAGATGCAGCACACATGAGTATACACAATGTTGTAAGCCTTGCAGTTTCCAACATATTTTCAGTCCACATTCTGTGATGATTAGGCTGTTAGTATAATGAGGCAATTATGGAGCAATTATTGAACCTTTGCCGTCTACAGCTCCGGCTCAGATGTCTGCAATACTATATGAAACCATGGAGTGAATCAAGTTTTTTCATCTTAAAGGACACCATTTGAGATTCTATATGTCATATTTGTGTTATTTAATGGTTCTAGAGTTGTATGTTTAAATTTAATAGTTTCTGCTGGGCATTTTGAAATGTGTTTCAGACATTTTACAGCAAGTTAAATTATTGTGGTATAAAACACATTCAATAACAGTGTTGTGATTCCCTTCTTCTTAATCAGTCACCTCTGTTGTCATATATCCAGATATGTTACTTCTATTTCACAAATAAAGTTCATTAATCGTTAACAAGCTAACATTGCTTGTTTCAAAGGACGTCTGGAAGTAAATCCAGATAACATATTGAATAAAAAGTTTATTTCCTCTTGAATAACTATTTCAGATTTTCCTCTTTATAATTGAAGTATAAAAGGTTATCTGTTACCAACAATTGTGTAAGATATTGAACGGTTTATTGGGAGGCATACAGGCTGTGTGAAAGGAGCTGTATTTATGACTATTTACAATGTCCTTATGACACTGATATGGGTCAGATTATAGCGGGAGCTCAAGTAGTTACTTCCAAAGTACAGCAGTAGCAGCCTTCACAGAGACTGTCAGTCAGCCACTAGTGTGTGTAGGACCAGGCTGCTCTCGCAACCAACATGGGTAGGTCCCTCTATGCAACAGTTTTCATTTTCTCTCCATCATCAGGCACACTTGGGTCACACTCACCAGCTCTACTGATGCAATCTCTTTTGCCAATTTTGATAGGAATTATGCTGACCAAGATGTATTTACAATGGACAGGATGTATGTTGAATGGCCAAATCACTGCTAATATTATCTTTAATTTATGAACAGGATGAATATGACAATTATTAATTCAGACATGAATCATTATTAAGTGTATTCAATGTTCAAAGTTACAGCTATCGTGTCCTAGGGTACTTGACATTTGTTTAGTAACTGATTCCAAGCAATCCTAAACCCTATAATTTTAACATAAAGGTTATGAATAGGGCCCCTTGATTTTCATCCCTAAGATTAAACACTGGTATTGTGTCTCCTCCCAAACATATATTTAGTAGTTGAATTGAGCCAAACCAACATTACAATGTTTAATCTCAGCTGCTGGAACGCCACTCCATTCTTGACATTCCGCCTGCTGCTGTAGTGTCTATTTCCTCCTTGGGCCCACTGCTTCCTCCTGATCAACTATAGGCAGGAACTCGGCATGTTATACCATGGCCATTCTATTCTACTTATCATACACATTTCTTTTCTTTTTCCATTCCACGTTCTCTGAAATACAAACTGTCGGTGCTTATAATCATAACCCTTACTATGTGTATAATACCCCTTATTATAAGTATAACATCCTGCAATGATTTACATGGAGTTACAATTGAGAGGAGATGAATAAGAATTTGTGCCACCTTTCCACACCTTATAGGCCTTATTGTAGGGTTAAAATAGTCATGCTATGCCTGGATCCTCTCAGTTTCCATTGATTATGTTTTAATAATATTTGATGTTGAGAACAAATAGTTACTTAAAAAATGTGAATAACTGTGTGCATATTGACCTGATTATTCCATGGTATGAGAAGAATATGATGCAAGTGCATGTTTGTAAGATAATTAGCAAGGATGCATCTATAGCACCTGATTTTGTGATGTAAGTATGCTTATGGTAGAAACACAAAACTTCTGCCTTTTACTCTTATACATCAGAATATATATCAGAATATACTGTAATCAGGCTGGTAATTAATCATTTGATTTATTAAAGTCATACCACTGAGGTTCTGTCGCTGAAACTGTCAGCCATCAATCAAATGCTAAGTTTAGTGACCAGGAAGGACCTGGCGGAAATACACAACCTATTTAAACTCTGAATGTAAGCGACTTCACATGCTGCTTTTATGAAAACAGTTCAAAAGTCAAATATCAAATCCTGTGTATATGTCCTTACACTACCATTTTAGATATGGAATTCAGACTTTACAAAAGTCAAATTATATAGTTGATGTCCTAAGTTATTCATTGTTCAAGTGATCAAGTTGAGCCGCATCTGAAATATATTCTCTGTGTAGTTGTTATGTTACATGAACTTATTGTACTACCAAACCAAGGTGTCTTGATAGGGTTATTGTTTATTCAAAGTTCACGTATCACAATAAGAAATAAAATATTTGATAGCAAACTTTTTTGTATTCTATAGCTTACATTTTGTTTCTTCATCATTGATTGAATGAAAGTCATATTGATGAACCTGTTAAGTTCCGAATGTTTGGACAATAGTATTGAGTTTGATTTTATCCTCTTGTCTATTGTATGACAGAATAGGGATATTTTAACTGATTGACTGTGTGTGTCCTGTTAGACCCAGTGATCCCTGCCTTCCTACCATACTGATAGTGTCAGTTTTATCACTGTTAGTCCACATGTGTTTAGCCAACAGCTGCTGTAGCATCCATGTTGTTATCAGCGCGAACTGTCAAGCATGGCTTTCATCAGTTATGGCATTGTCTTGATGTTCCCTTGCAGTTACTGGGGTACATGTCCTTCCTCCCTAGTCCTCTGTCTACAGTGTCCTGTTTCACCTGTCCTCTGTCTATAGTGTCCTGTCTCACCTGTCCTCTATCTACAATGTCCTGTCTCACCTGTCCTCTGTATACAGTGTCCAGCCTCACCTGTCCTCTATCTACAATGTCCTGTTTCACATGTCCTCTATATATAGTGTCCAGCCTCACCTGTCCTCTGTTTGCAATCTCCAGCCTCACCTGTCCTCTGTCTACAGTGTCCAGCCTCACCTGTCCTCTGTTTGCAATCTCCAGCCTCACCTGTCCTCTATCTACAATGTCCTGTTTCACCTGTCCTCTGTCTACAGTGTCCAGTCTCACCTGTCCTCTATCTACAATGTCCAGTTTCACCTGTCCTCTGTCTAGTGTCCAGCCTCACCTGTCCTCTATCTACAATGTCCTGTTTCACCTGTCCTCTGTCTACAGTGTCCAGCCTCACCTGTTTTCTGTCTACAATATCCAGTCTCAATAATCCAGTCTATGAAGAGCTCTAATGTCCACATATCGTGTGTAGAAACCCACTGTCACATGTCCTGTTTGTAGTGACCGTGTCCCATGTTTAATGTACCTGTATGTCCCGCCTTGTCCCATGTTAATATCTAGTGTCCTTGTCTATGTCTAGTGTCTAGTGTCCCTGTTCTCTGTCCCATGCTGTGGGACATGTCCTACATCCAATGATTTTTGTCCCGTCCTATGTGTTATCCCTGTGTCACTTATCTTACGTCTACTGTCCCATGCCCTTTTTTTTGTTATCCCTCATCTTTTGTCCCATGTCATCTATTCAATCATCCTTTGACTTTGAAATTTTGTCTCCCATGTCCTCTGCCATATGTCCCAGGCTCTCTCTATATCACAATATGTCCCATTTCCTACGTTTTGGCCCATATCCTCTGTTGCGAGATGTTTTCCTTCTCCTATGTCCCTCCTTCCATGCCCTCTGTCCTCTGCTCCCATCCTCTTCCCATCATATGTGTATGTGGATGTGTGTACCACACTGTAGCCAGCCTGCCCCACATACTGCATGATAATACTCAGTACCGCTGACAGATGATGACATGTTCATAGGGATTATCAGAATAAACAATCATTATGCAAAGCTGGAGTGTCTGTGTTATTACTGTAACCCCGTGGACATGGATGCCAAGGGTGTGAATATATTATGGTGCATGATATGCATGATAATCACATTAATTTGACAACATACATATGCATCTAAATGTATGCTTTTGAAAAAAAAAAAACCAGGGTGACAAGGGCATCTGTGGACCATGTACAATAAGATGGAAATACAACGGCACAGAAATATCTTGCAAAACAAGAAACACTGCGATTCTGGTTAGACACATCATCAGTACATGACAGTTTTATAGATAGACATCGTGTTCCTCCATCACCTATGATTACTTACACCGTAGTAGTAGTAGTAGTAGTAGTAGTAGTAGTAGTAGTAGTAGTAGTAGTAGTGACATGTGTAATTTAAATCAAACAAGAAGACATGGTCATCAATATCCCCCATCACAGTGTTCTGTTCCTATATGGTTCCTATTTTTTTAACTCCACCACAACACTGAAAACATATAGCTCATTTGGTTACCCTATCTATAACGGTTTTGGAGAAAATCTGACCCCATCATCTCGGATGGACGAAGCTGAAACCTATATCCCCCTCCCACTTCGTGGCAGATTTAATTTGGTAACATATTTTGATGAAAAGGACGGAAACTCGTGATGCCACTGCAATGACCATTACTGATTCATTGCAAGAATGATTGTATAAGTATTCACTTTTCACATCAATATACTAATCCTTGATTTATTGATGAACAAGATTTTTAAATTCAGATCACAATAATTTCTCTATCACAAAATTTCAGCAAGGTAAACAAAACATTAGTGCTGAATAGAAACACCAATTGATTTGTTAAAGAAATCTCAAACCATAGATAATAAATGATGATATGCAAACTGATACTCAGCACTATTTCACATTCAAGACTTATATGTATAAAGTGCTTCGTCAGCTATTCAAGTGTTTAGCAAGCACTAGGCTTGCTAGTTAAACGATACTTACAAATGGTAATCAGAATAGTAAAGTAGGAAATGTCATACGATGAAGGTGATTAGGCTTGAACCATCAGCAGCACTTACGAGCAGTATACCAGCAGTAACCCCATTGATCCACAAAGCATTTGTAGAGTTACAACAATCAACACTCCACTGAAGTCATAGGGTTCTCTAGGTCTTGTACTTGCACTGCTGGAATCTGGTGACCACCTAATTCTCCAACTTTTAACATGAGGTGTACGACAAGGAACCCTCAACAATAATTTTTTTAAATTTATATATTTATTTCCACTTCATGTAATACAGTGCATAGGATGTTTTGCATACATTTTCCAAATTTTCCAAATATAAGCATCAATGAAAACACTCCACCATATAGCTGGAATATTGCTGAGTGCCGCGTAAAACTGAACTCACTCACTCACTTAATGAAAACATTAGTACCAGTACAGAAGACAGGAAGAAGCTATTCAAGACAATATTTACGCATATTGTTAACTTAATAAATACCAGAAGATATTATACCTAATTATATGACATGAAAGATTTTTTGAGTGGTTCAGAATACAGGATATGCCTCGTACATTTTCTAGAGTATAAACATAAATGAATGCTAGTATAGATACAGATGACAGGCTGAAGCTATTCATGACATGATTTCCACGTATCATTAACTCAATAAATATCAGAAGATATTATACCCAATTATATGACATGAAATGCTTGAAAGATATTTTGATTCAGTGTACAGGATGTCCTCTGTACATTTTCCTAAGTATAAACATCGATGAATACTAGTATAGACACAGATGGCAGGCTGAAGCTACAAGTATTCATGACATGATTTACACATATCGTTAAATTAATAAATATCAGAAGATATTTTACCCAATTATTAGACAGGAAATGCTTGAAAGATTTTTTGAGTGCTTCAGAATACAGGATGTGCCCTGTACATTTGCCAAAGTATAAACATCAACAAATACTAGTACAGATATAGATGGTAGGCTGATGCAACCTCAACAGTCATGTTTACAGACCGCCGTCATACAAATGCTTTGCAGATGGAGAAACGCATTAGGACTATTTAAGTCAGATGTTTTGGTATGGGAATAACATAAAATCATTCTGTGAGCCTAACTCATTGGGTGGAGAGTCTAGCATACCCAACAAGCAATTGATGGTTTCTCCTGAAAATACTCGCTTCAATATAGTATTTTCCAAGTGAAGATAATTCTGTGGTCTCAGCTCATTAGCCGTTGGTAGGGACTGACAGCTTGCAAACAATTGGTTTGTTTCACTCAATTATACTTTCCTGCAATATAACTTTGACCCAGTAAAGATCAGTGTGGAGGATGGAGAGTGTCAGTATAAACCTACAAACAACTGTTACGCTCTGTTACGCTCCCCTTCAATAGAGCATGGGCCGAGCGATGTCACCCAGCATATTGGTGTGGTAATGAGGTGAAATGGGGTTTAACGTCACGCTCAAGAACAGTTTAAGGAACAGTTGATGTATCTACGGAATTCGGTCACTGTAACATGATTTCAATCAGGGAAAACAACTCTGTTAATGGGCACAAAATATTACTGGTGTGTAAATGAGTATTACATGGAGCCATATAAGAACAAAATATGACATATGTTATGTTTGAGGGCAGCTTTCTCAGTAAAGTACAGATTCTAGTACATTGGGGGTTCAGTTTCTTCCAGGATTTGAACCCACACTGTACTGGCAATTAGGTGCCCTACTCTGAGAGTGTGGGTTTGAATCCCATATGGGACTCAACCCAAAACATACTAGAATCTGTACTTTACTGAGAAAGTGTAAAACCAAATATAACATTTGTTACATTTGACCACTTTCAAAATGCCATTGTGTATTTAAGAACAAAACAGTCCTCTGAGATTCAGGTCTAGACATTGAATATTTTGTTGTCCAACATCTCTTTGCAGTGAATGTTGTGTTATATCTAATAGCTGAATGTTATGGCTGTATCCAACAGCTTCTGACACACTGATCAATGACAGCCATATCTGTCAGCTGCTTGCTGTGCCTTTACATATAATGGCTGAAATTGAAGGTTATGTTACAGTGAGTTATCTTACCTCTCATGTCAGAATGTTGATTGGTTCACCTGATAAAATACTATGTAGCCCGCCTGAGAAGAAAATAAGTTTTTGAGAAGAAGTCTTTAACACCCTGCCATAGAGGAAACGGGATGCATACAGATTTCAGATTTTACCCTGCAATGTAGTAAAACGCTTCATGTTGCTTACAAGTCAATGAAAGTAACAAAGCAGAGGATAAGTTAACCTCAGCTCAAGAGAACAGGTGTTTTCAGTTTCTTATTAAATATGTTGTCTACATAAATTCTTAGTGGAAGTATCTCCAGGGGTATATGTGGATTATGCATCCCTGTTTATCTTTCATACCACTGGCCTCAAACTCATGTATAACCTATATAGGATGCATAATACCACACATAGTCCTTGTGATAACAGCTCCTGGCTGTGAACTTTCTGTTTCAACTAACAGCTGAGATTGAATGTATTGACTGTTTTATCTATGACAGCTACTATTATTGACTGTTCTGGTATACCGGTAGCTTTATCTGACAGCTACTATCATTGACTGTTCTGGTATACCGGTAGCTATATCTGACAGCTACTATCATTGACTGTTCTGGTATACCGGTAGCTATATCTGACAGCTACTATCATTGACTGTTCTGGTATACCGGTAGCTATATCTGACAGCTACTATTATTGACTGTTCTGGTATAGCTATATCTGACAGCTACTATCATCGACTGTTCTGTTATAGCTATCTCTGACAGCTACTATCATTGACTGTTCTGGTATAGCTATGTATGACAGCTACTTTTATTGACTGTTCTGGTATAGCTATATCTGATAGCTACTACCATTGACTTCTGGTATAGGTATGTTTGACAGCTACTATTATTGACTGTTCTGGTATAGCTATATCTGACAGCTACTATCATTGACCGTTCTGGTATAGCTATATCTGACAGCTACTATCATTGACTGTTCTGGTATAGCTATGTATGACAGCTACTATTATTGACTGTTCTGGTTTAGCTATGTATGACAGCTACTATTATTGACTGTTCTGGTATAGCTATGTATGACAGCTACTATTATTGACTGTTCTGGTATAGCTATATCTGACAGCTACTATCATTGACTGTTCTGGTATAGCTATATCTGACAGCTGCTATCATTGACTGCTCTGTTACAGCTATATCTGACAGCTACTATCATTGACTGTTCTGTTGTGGCTATACGTGACAGCTACTAAAGTTGACTGTTCTGTTATGGCTATATCTGACAGCTACAATCATTGACTGTTAGAGCTATATCTGACAGCTTCTATCATTGACTGCTCTGTTACAGCTATATCTATCTGCTCCTGATTCTGATTGTTTTGTTTCAGCTGAGGACAAGCACCGACAGAACTACATCAATGAGCTGATCAGCACAGAGGAGTCGTACATGGCGGACATGTCCATCGTGTCCGAGGTTAGTATGAAATCACAGACACTCCAGTCTGGAAAGTCTTTTGTGTGCAAGCTATGTCGGACAGTATTGTTCTCCACCACCTTCTTTCTTTCCATTCTGTCTGTCATGTTTGGATCCAGACTCTAACAATACGATCAATTCAATGTCATGTTGTCAGAGCTTAACTGAAAGACTTTTCAATACATTTTGTTTTGGGAACATAACTCAAGGGCTGTCTATATTTTAAACTCAGCCAGCCAATTAAATGGTATGGAATCACTTTCAATTTATTTATTTGCTGCAGGCTTTCATCCAGCCACTGCGGAACGCCAAGGTTCTGACAGAGGAGGAGCTACACAACGTCTTCGTCAACTGGAGTGAACTGATAGTCTGTAATATGAAGCTACTGAAGTAAGTCCCCAGCTACAAACATGATGTAGGGTGTGATAGCAGCCTCTGTACCACCTACTTCCATCTCTTGTATTCTTACTTTATGTAATATGAAGCTACTGAAGTAAGTCCCCAGCTACAAACATGATGTAGGGTGTGATAGCAATGTATGTATGATGAAAGGTGGCAAGGTGGTTTCAGACTCTGCTCAATCTACTTCCATCGCTTGTATTCTTACTTTATGAGTGAAGTTTGCCCCCCAAAAATTATTTTTATTTTTGTAAAATGCAGTCATGTCTTTTCTTAACAATATCTTCATAGATTCTGAATTCCCTTATTTTAATGTTTGATCCACATACCATCTCGAGATTTCCTGATCATATTTGAAAACCTTTGTATAATTTTTGGTGAAACCTCCTATACAGATCAGTCTAGTGGTAACCTCATACCTTTTTATGATTTCAGGATACTGAAAAGCAAACCTTAGATATTTTACAAAAATCAGACTGAAGTAAAACAAAACAGTAACTTAATAAATCGGGTGAACTACAAAGCCATGTTTGTATCACCTTTTTCTGTAGGACTGAGGACGTCACTTAATAGTTGTGTTTCAAACTGCAGCAAAGCCTGAGAGATTGACTGGTGAGAAATATTGAAGAGAATGCCTTAGGAATATAGACAAATAGACTTCATGAATTAATTGATCTGATTTGCTTCATCGTTTGATGATGTGCAATATGTTGTTGCAGTGGTTTGAAGGTTCGGAAGAAGATGTCAGGGAAAGGCAAACCCATCTCAATGATAGGGGATATCCTGTGTGAAAATGTAAGTTTTAAAGGTGCTAATCCATACAACTGTGTAAATCAATGGTACATTATAAAAATGTTTTACTACAGGCAATAACAACAATTATGTTAAATCCACTGTAAGGTTGGAGGAAAATACAGTAAGTTCACAATCATCAGTGAGAAATAAATCCTGGTAAATTCACTATAAGCTCAGAGAAAAAAAACAACGAACTAATTTCACTTTTAATTCTGAGGAAAGCAAAGTGAAATTCACTTGAGGTCATGATAAATTTGAAAATTTCATAACAATCATCTAAGACTTTCCTTCCCAAATTGTTCAAGTCATGTTTCACAACACATTGTTAATTTCAATTGACCATTACCCTGGTACCTCATTTTGCCATTACATGTAAGGCACTGGGTAAATCAACATGGCATGAGCTGTGATGCTGTGTGTGTTTCAGCTTCCCCACATGACCGTCTACGTCCGATTCTGCAGCTGCCAGCTGTCTGCAGCCGCTCTCATACAGAGGAAGACGGAACAGAGCCCTGAATTTGTGGAGACTCACAAGGTGACATCAGGAGACACATCTCCATATCTTGACATGTGATGCATACAATACATTATGGTACTGGGGGCAATGCTGAGCAGAGTAATATTTACATAAAACACTTCTAAGAGTATTGGAAAGCAGAATTGCTTTCACTGGTATGGCAGAAACTCAGGGGTTGAGGGTCTGTGTACTAGTATGCCTTGAATTTGTTTCAATGTTTGTCAGCACAAAGCCTATGCTCCTGAGTTTCACCAAATGGTTTAAAGTTGCCATGCAAAATCTGCATCATTACAGTGTTTCTCATCTTAAGTCTTGTGTCAAACACAAATCTGGGTCCTATCCTACAAATGAACCTAATTGCCATGCTTGAATATGTGCCTATGATTATTGTGGTGCTACTATGATTTGTCTCATTGATTCCTGTTGGGAAGGTTAGCTGTAGTACTCAATATCTGACTTTCCTTCACTTTTGTCTTCAGAGGTGTCTACATGATCCCAGGACAAAGAACATGCCTCTCAGTAGCTTCCTGTTAAAGCCTATGCAGAGAATAACCAAATACCCCCTCATGATCAAGGAGGTAAGTGCACCTACCATAGATTTTAATAGTTTGGGTTACCTGGTGGTTAAGGTGTTGACTGATCAGGCCAAATAGAGTGTCTGGTGAATAATACCATACAACTTGTTTCATAATGTATCTGAAAGCAAAATTAAAGTTACAAGTTGTTTTAAAAGGTAACAAGCAAAAGTGACAAGTTTTAAATCGAGTTGTAAGATATATGGTATCTGATGGGCAGGAGTGCAGTATTCTGTTTCTTACTCACCCTAAATGACACCATTACAGCATTGAATCTATGAATATTTTGTCTATTCTTGTTGGTAAATTAATACATAATGCAATGGTTATGTGATGTAATGAAGCCCTGTGCTTCCTACCCATACCAAGTGTAACCCTCTGCCATAAAGCCTCCGCCATGTCTGTGGGTTATCAAGGCAACAATGGTAATGAAAACTAAATAAGACAAAACAGCATTTATTGTTTGTACAGTTTTGACACAGATGTTGGTGAATTTGACTGAAGCAGAACAAAGTAGTCCATCATAGTTTTACCTTAGGTCATAACCATGTAAGTTATGAAATATATGTTTGTATTCATACAGATCTTAAAATACACCCCTCCTGAGCACCCTGACCACCAGAATCTAGTGGATGCTCTCGCCAAGGCAGAGGAGTTGTGCAGTCAGGTCAATGAAGGGGTTCGGGAGAAGGAAAACTCTGAGAGGTTGGAATGGTTACAGAATCATGTCCAGTGTGATGGTCTGTCTGAGGTGAGTGGGGACATTTTTGTTTGTTTGTTGTTTAACACTGCACTTAGCAATATTCAAACTATATGATAGTATTTTGTCAAATATCACTCCTGGACTAGACACTTCAGTGATAAACATCATGAGCATGGATCCTCCCTGTTGGATATGATGGCATGCCTAAAACAAGTCCCCAGTGGATCTTTTATACTTGTGGGGCGGTGGGGTGGCCTAGTGGTTAAAGCGTTAGCTCGTCACGCCGAAGACCCGGGTTCGATTCCCCACATGGGTACAATGTGTGAAGCCCATTTCTGGTGTCCCCCGCCGTGATATTGCTGGAATATTGCTAAAAAGCGGCGTAAAACCATACTCACTCACTCACTCACTCTTTTATACTTGTTCCACATATTTATATAGACATCAAATTGTGATTCCAGGTTTACAGTGTTGGTTAATCACATTGCTAACACTATCCATCATATCATTTTTATCTGTGTTAGGTTTCTTTAAAATGAACATGAATATCTACTGTGCAACATTTGATGGGGGTACTGGAATTTATTAAACATGGGCATACTGGAATTTATTAAACATAAGGCATCACACAGTTTGTAGTATATTTGTTGTTGGTCCAGTGGTCACCTTGGACCCACCATATTAATACTTAGAACCCCCACATTTATCATCTTCATTCAAAAGTCCCAAGGACCATCAAATACATTGGCCTACCAAAATCCCTGTTCAAACTCATTGTTGGTATCTCTACACCTATCAAAATTTGAGTAGTAAATAAGGGAATGACAGCTCCCCCTACTCCAGTGATGGGTTCTAATGGTGTGTACTTGTCCAATGTGTGGAGCCGGTGTGGGAGAAAAGGTCAGAACGTGAATTATGTGTCAGGATTTTGAATTATCCCCTATCAGGGATTCTGTGTCAAAGATCTTCTGTTTTCTTTCAGAGAATAATATTTAATGGAGTTACTAACTGCCTAGGAAGAAGAAGACTTCTACACTCTGGTGTCCTTTACAAAGTAAGTTCTTGGAAAATCAAATTACAAATATTGATTAGAATTCTTTCATATGGCAAAGTCTGCTTTTGGCCTGTTTTCCTTCAACTGTCCTACATTCAGACTGTGGGTTTAGAGAAGAGCTTTGTGAAGTTGAAAACACCATGCAATCTATTGTAAAGACATCCCTTACCCTGTTTCATTGTGGGACTGAGAACGCTCTTGCTAATCTAATGTTCATCTTCAGGGAAATACTCAATATAATTAAACACATTTACCTTGTTTTTAAAGGGGCGGTGTAGCCTAGTGGTTAAGACAAATAGAATATTAATAAGCTCTTTTCTTCCTCCTCAGACTAAAAGTAACAAGGAACTGTTGTGTTTCCTCTTCAACGACTTCCTGCTGCTCACACTGCCGTCCCGGCCGCTGGGCAGCAACTCCTCACTCCGCTACATCTGTGATCCCAAGTCTACACTCAACTTTAAAATGTACAAAACGGTACGTAATACACCATAGGTCACAGTTGTACACACGTCAAGTTTTGTTGTTAGTTGTGTAGAAGATAGCATAACTCTGCAGACTGATGTCTGCTGCTAATGACTGAGTTCGATGTCAGGTGATGTCATGAGTACGGAATACATACCTGGTAAATCAACTGGACCAACATCAGTTTTGAATCAGTCATCCCACATTTTCGATACGTTTCCAACTCAAAACATTTTCCTCCACAGTTTTTTGAGAAATGGATTCTGTCAGAGTGACCTATCCATTTAAATTGTAACTGGTTAAAGGCTTATATGTAGTATAGAGGATTACACCTTCTCAGTAAAGTACAGTAATTACTAGGGGTAGAGTCAACTCTAGGATTCGAGCCATGCTCTCATCTCACAAAGTCACTGATCTAACCCACTTAGCCCCTGCAGCTTCCACAAACATTAAAGTCTGACAACTGGTAGTCTAAACCAGATACTTTGTGAACCCACCCCACTTGATAAGTGTAAATTGGCACAGATACATTTGACCACTTTCAAAAAGGCATTGTCTGGTTATGGTTTAAAGGCTTGAAATATCACATTCAAAGAACACTCACAGTAGCATTATCATATTCATGTTTGATGTATCAACTGATGAAATTGCTCACATGAAATTGTGTTCCTTTCTCCCCCAGCCTATTGTGTTGAACGAGGCAATCCTCATCAAGTCCAATGACACGGACAGTGACCCCTGTCAGTTCCAGATCAGATATGACTTCGACAGAGTTCTCAATCTCAAAGCAGTCACTGAAACAGAAAAGTAAGATGTTCTCTATGTTTTTTTATGTCATGCTTGAGGCCCCTCTCACCTCTGTACATGACTAATCCATTTGTGTTCAGCTAAGGGAGATAACTCTCAACTGTAAATCCTACACAGATGAATGTGTGTAATGACTACACACTGTTGATGCCTGATCCCATTAAATACTTTTCTCTTATTGATGATTATGTGTGAATCTTTCAGGGATCTATGGATCCGTGAGATTGAAGGAGCATCAAGACAGTATCTAGATACAGAAAAAAAGAAGAAGGAGCGTCAGCACTCAAGTAAGTCGACACCTTGTCCACTCAGTGTACATGGAGAAGTCAGTGTAGGGATACATCAGTTATGTTTTAAGTATGCACAGACTGTCACTGTCTTGCGGGTAATTGCCAATGACCATGAGCCATTAGCATTAACTGCCTCCATGGTCTTGTGGATAGAGCACCTGTTCGAGGGGGGAAGGTGGATGGTTAAATGCCCATCTGTGTCACACATGAAAAGATTAAATGGTGCTTTTGTTACCCTCGCTGACACAAGACAATAAGGGGAATCGGTATACTGTGTCTGAGTGAGGTATCCATGTTTAAACTGTACCATGGTATCTCAGTGGGCTCGCAATATAAAACTGTCCAACTAGTCCAAGCAGCCACGAAAATGTGCAATAATCTTGAAAGTGACATTTATTCACATTTCACCTCATCCCATTAGCATCAGTAGTTCATATTACCGATTGAGAATCAGCCAGAGGTTGAGAATTTTGTGTGACAAGTTTAGATGGGGAAATAAGTGAATGTTGATATTGTTAATAAACTCCCATGTCATATTTCAAAGTTTAGTTCAAACTTTTTGTACTTATTCAGTATGATACTAACACCCACTCAATATGGCCTTTCTCTCAACCATATTTTGGCATATATTTTCTTTATGTGTTTCATGTGAAATGATTGGTCTCACTGAGTATTGAATTATACATATACATATATATGCAGTTTAATATCTTAACAAATATTGTGTAACTATGGTAACACTGTTCATCATTATATTCTCTAATACTGCTATGAAGCATGTTTGTGATACAAACAATGACTTTTAAGAGGCTCCAATAACTTCATCATATGGCTTGATTCTTTGTCTGCCAATCTGAACACTCTCTATGACAATAGTAGCTCAACTTCGCTCCCGCCCGGTTGGACGGCTGCTTGTCATCATCCTGGAGGGCGTTGGCCTCAAGTCCACGAGCGACGGTGGTAAGGCTGCAGCATGGATGTGTTTCATTTCAGTGATGGCATGGCATCCTCGTCTTCGTATCCGACAGCTGTTGCATGGCTAGCAGTTCCTTTCAGTTTCAGTTTTAGCAGAAGCACATCAGATTTAGTTCCAACCCCAATGGACAAATAACCTTCTGATGAAGCTGTGAATGAAAGTTTTGGACTCAGTCATTATTATATAGATAGCATGTTCTTATGAGTTAGGCTGGTCTGTGTTTCACTTGAAATGTTCTTGCTGCGACCTGGTATGAGGATTGCATGAAATCTGGCTACTACATGCTTACATGTACATACAAGCTTAAGGAACAGTTTGTTCATTGGGTTGTACTAATACCATATTTTTTTTTTTGTATGATGTATTTTTCACGATGATGCTCCTCTCTCTGTCATCACTTCAATGCCGTAGCATTTCCAACTTTAACGTCACTTGCCCATGAGGCATTCATATGAAGAATTTGATGTCTTGTACCCCAGCCTTAGACCAATTTATAGAGTCAGCCCCACTGGCACCATTCATTTCAAAGACACAGCCAATGACTCAGGAGAGAACAATACTGTTCAACTGAAACAACAGGTTATTGCCCCAGAATGAAAATCATTATTGTTAAATAATTACACAATTAAATTTGGTAGTTTGTGATTGCTTGGGCTGAAAAATGGCTATCTGATCGGCTGCTCTGTTGTAACTAATAGCTAAATTCAGTTGCTGAATGTATCCTGGGGGTGGGGTGAGGTGTATGTGTTTCAATTTCCTGGTACCAAAAATTCCACACTTAAGCTGTGATACAACCTGTGTATAGTCCTCCCTGTTAGTCTCAGGCAACTCAAGGCATGAAACCATGACAAATAGAGGAATATCAGCATGGTAGCTAGGTTACAGGTCTCTTCTTGGTTCACATCACACCTCCAGAGGGCACTACCACCCAGCAGCCATATATGGTGTTGTCACATCACCTTTACCTATACATCAGTGGCAAATATTATATGAAAAATATTATATTCTTTATCTAAGGTTATTTGACACAATTCAAATTTAGGCCATGAGCCAGACAATTTTTCGGTACCAATCAGAGGGACCAAACACTTTTATGTTTTATATTTTGAACTTGGTATGGTCTCTAGACATAAAAATGTATGATGGCCATGTCGGTTTGGTAGCTCAGACTCAGGACGAGGCTAAATCCAAAAAGGCCGCCAATAAACCCAAATTTTTAAAAAAAAGGTCAATTCCAAGCTTTAATCGTGAGTAAAGTTCAGCAAATCAGTTGGAAATGAAAGGGGTGGGGGTGGTTTAAAAATAGTGGTGACATGATTAAAAAGATTTCATTAATATCAAGTTGTGATATTTGGTACCTTTAAATCATTGCTTTTCCTGATTTTGTAAGAGTCAAAATTGTTATATAGAGACATAAAGGAATATAAAAAACACTAAAACTTTTGGTCCCTCTGAGTGGTACCAATATGTCAATTTTCAGCTCCTGGCTCATGTTCTTTCAAAGTTCCTGGTTGAGATCATTAATATGCATTTTACAGAGACTTTAAGATTTAAGTTTGGGGGATTGTTAAATCACAATAAAGTCTCTAATGGACTCTAAGACATTTTGCCACAGAACAAATTATTCCCACATCATTGTCATAATCTATACCCCATGTCTGAGGTCAGACCTGACAGTGGTTACTGATGTGTAGTGCCAGGTGATGTGACGACCCCTCCCTGCCAGGTGTGTCTGCCTGCCTCCTCCTCCCTTGTATAACATTGCATGACCTGTCTGTCATCTGTACATCAGTGCGCAAGTCCCCTGGGGTTGGCAGGCTGCTCGTCGTCATACAGGAAGCTGTTAACCTCCGAGCCAGCGACAATAATGGTAGGACCATTTCAGCAAAGACTGATTACATCCAAGCTCCACTATAGCCGGGTCACAGGTTGATATGTCCTTAACAAATATGGCACCCTAATGCCAGATTAGACACATTTGTTTTGTCACAGCAACCATTCTTAGGGAACATGGAAGGAACTAGATTTTGTGCTTTACTAAGAAAGTGTAATCCCAAATATAACATATGTTACATGGAAGGAATATGTTATCCTTTCAATTTCAGGTTCATTTAGAATATTTTTTTTGGCTATGCCGCAACCATTCCCATGTTTACAGATCTTACCAAAATCAAAGTGAAAACATCAGCCCAGGCTTTCCTCCCACATCAAGCTGACTTTCTGTGATGTAACTAAATACTGTTTAGAGATACATTAAACCACTGACTTACATGCTTGTAGCTTACGCATTGCATTGGATTCATTTTGGAGGTAGATATTTTTGTGGAATGTTGTTTCCTTTGTGTCCGATGTGGGATTATGACATATTTTAGGATTTTTTGGGTCTGATTTCAAGCATGGAACTAAACAAAACCCACCAAAATAAACTATGGAATTATGATCTTACAGTTTAATAACAGAGATAGATAGTTATTCTTTCTGACTTCAAAGTTTAGGAACACAAAATGCATGACCTTGCTGTGGCCTGCTGTGTGTTGTACTGAAAGTGAGGGAGTTCTACCTGACACACTGTAGGCTGCCTGCCTTGCAGTGGCTGGTGACCTTCACCTTAGTACTGAGTGTGACCTGGTGTGTAGTGTGTTTCCAGGTGGTATACCTGATACACTGTTAATAGCAGGCCTTGCAGTGCTGTGTGACCTTCACCTACGTACTACACGTGACCTGATGTGTAGAGTGTTTCTATATAGCACACCTGATACCCTGTTGGTGCCAGGCCTTGCATTCCATTTTCTCATGTACATCTATGCACCATTCTTTAGTTGTAGACAGAAATATGTAGTAACATTAAAATGTCATTGTTCTTGGTAAATTCACCATATATTCTGTGAACCATGAGAGATAAGGTTTGTGGAACAAAAAGTTTCAAGCATTTATTTCACTCACTTTTGAGGTCATATTTTCAGTATCACAGATAAATATACAACTCAGAAGACGCTTATCATGGCTTGTCCTTGTAACTTGTGAACCTCAAGATAAATATGTTACTTTTGTCACTAGCTAAATGGACAGCATTTACAACTCATCTCCTATACCCCTTGACCGTCTGTCTTATGGTGTACAATCCCATTCAGTAATATCCTCCACACCCAGCTGGTGCCACATGTAACCTTGTATGACCATGTGACCACCTTCCGTGCAGGTAAGAGTGACCCGTACTGCGAGGTGAGCATGGGGAGCCAGGAGCACCGAACCAAGGTCATCCAGGGCACGCTCAACCCAAAGTGGAACCACTCAATGCAATTCATCATCAAGGATCTGGAGGAGGATGTCCTCTGCCTCACTGTGTACGACCGGGACATCTTCTCCCCAAATGGTAGGACATCCAGACATGTTACCGTGGCCAAATGCTCACTATTGCCAACTTGTCTTTTTGAGATGACCACCAGGTTGGATTTAAATTAATGAAAATTGGATTTATGAATTCGTGAATGATTTTGTGTGTGTGTTTTTCAGAGAGCATACACTCTGGGATTGAAAGCCATTGATTTTCACTATGTTTATCTCACTTTTCCTAATGATTTACCTATCATGCCAGTATGATCATCTCGCTTCATGTGTTCCGACCAACATACAAAACACAAGCTGTGGCTCTCCCTGGTCTATGAACGTAATTCTTTCTTATTAACATGTCTAACTTTTAAAGTTATTGTTCTATAATTATGACTGAATGTTCATAAATGCCTGCACTCCATGGAGGAGAATGGGCCAGCATTTTGAGAGCTCATATTTGAAACCTGAAAAATAATTATCTTTCAACACATTTTGGCCATATAAATGATATGAGGTAAATCTGTGCCTGTTACTGGTAATAAATGTGACAGTGTACTATATGCCATATATTTGCAAATTACTGACAAACCCTGGGGATACAGTATGAACTTCTATGCTTCAAAGTCATCCAAGGTCTTACTCTGCATGAAGTAATGGTGAAACATCAGTTTGATATCCCCTTGTATACATGTTGATGAAACTATTTTCGTACATCTGATTATGTTTTTGCTTTCCCTTCAGACTTCCTAGGACGGACAGAGATACAGGTGAAAGAGGTGTACTATAGCAGTATGAGTCGGAAAGGGCCGATCACAAAGAAGCTCCCTCTGTATGAAGTTAATTCAGGGGAGGTAATAGTGAAGCTAGATCTCCAGCTGTACAATAGCTGAAAGTCCCTGGTGGACACAACAGTGTTTTAGTGATACAGAATTTTATACAGTATATCAGACCCCCGGAGAACAGAGAGGGTCTAACCTAGAAAGTAGACCTGTCAGGTAGCCTACCAGTAGATCACATCGACAAACCTGTAGCGTCAAGGGTCTGGTGTGCCATGGGAGAATGAAATAATACCAAGAGCGTTTCCCCAGGTTATTTTAATCTTCTTCTTCACAAGATTAAGAAGTTTTGTTGGATCCTGTTTATCATCGGTGCAGTGAGCACCTGTGCGATCAATCTTACCATCAGTTGGACAGAACAGCTTCTTTGCTCACTTTCTGTGCTGCAAACTCAAGGACATCAGTTTTTATTTTATTTGATTGTTGTTATCAATATGATGATAGTAACCCCTTTAGTCATCATAATCGCCATCATCATCATCATTTTCATCATCACCATCATCATCATCAATAACCTGTTTTCTCTCATTGTACATTTTAATGGTCACATGCTCTTAATATGAGGATGGTATTATCTGTATCATTTTCATCATTGTCATGGTCATCTTCATTATCATCATCACCATCATCATCATTATCATCATCACCATCATGAAACCACATTACCTGTACATGTCACCGCTGCATCCTGTCTTTGGCTACAGTACTGCTGGACTAAACATCAGCAGGGCCTCACGCTACAGAGTTACTACCCTTCCCTGTTTGTCTCACAGGTCTAAGTGTCCCTACCCAACACATGCATGAATACTAGGTTTGAAATACAAAATATTTGCTGCAAGTAGCAGATGGTATATTTACTGAGACACAAATAAAGGTGGTCCTTTGGTGGTACATTTTTTTTTGTGGCAGTTACATGTATATATATGCAAATTTTTTTTTGGGTTGGACATCATAAACAGGATCAAATTAATCTGGAAACTGTTATGTCAATACCTCACTGAGACGATTAGTGGATTAACTCAACAGTAGGCATGGCTACAGTTTCAGTTGTGTGGTGGGTACCAGGTAGTATTAGGACAACTTACAATTAGTTGCAGAGTACTGATCCTAGAGGATACACATCTCAAAAAGGCCTGACTGTAAAATACTGCAATATACAGTAATAGTGACAAATAGTTGCAGTAGATCTCTATGTATACTCTTTGTCAAACAAAACAGGTGCTCTTTATACAGACCAATGTAAACATTTAATATTCTGTTTCAAGTTAACCGGTAGAAAAACAGCAAAATGTGATTTGTGAAAAGTTAGTTTGGTGGGAAAACATAATTTGCTGGAATTGTACTTGATGTGTCATTGTGGTCGAAAGTGTTCTTCAGCACATTTCTGTTTTGACAATATTCAAAATTGTAAGTTTCATTGTTCATTAAATGTGTCAAATAGTTTTCCTAGTCATATATATATATATTCAAGTTATCATCCTCATTCATTGCTATCATGTAAGGACGGAAAGCCTATTTGCTGGACCACAATTCACTGTGCAGAGTTGCCTCCCTCAGACATGCTAGAAACCTAGCATCACAGGTTCAAGTCCAGATGTTCCATGGTTCTGTTTCTAGGTTAGTCAGCCCTATACTTGTACTAGTGGGTTTCACCAAACAATCTTAACACTACAAACAATCTTAACACTACAAACAGTCATAAGTCTCTGTTATCAGTACGATCATCTTGGCTATGATCATGTAAAAGGGCATTGGGGACAGGTAGCGCATTTCTGATTGTGCCGACATCATTTCTGTAGCACAAACCTTCCTACATTCTACTTATGTTATTCCTATCAGTGTGTTTGTCCTATTTATATTTTCTGATCCTAAATTTGGATAATTACAGTTATAATCTCAGAAAGTGAATTTCTATGTGCACTCTGTTATGTTATTTTATTGGCCTATGAATGCAATCAAAATCATTTTTCTGTTCTCATTGTCATCATCATCAACATCATTGTCACCAATATCTTGTTACCTGATGATCATCTCCACTGTTTAATTGTCAAGTTCATATTAATTATTCCTATTGTCAATGCTTTTTGTCAAAACTTTAATGGGAAGTTGTATAAATGTAGTTTTTGTCCTGCCCCTGAATTCACTTGGTTTTAAACCACATCAGAGCTAGGACAGTCAACCATGATTTTCTTTTTTTAAATGTGATGTAATTTATAACTGAGGTTAAAGGTGGTCCATTTTTCTGTGGCATCGCAATTCACCTTCAACCATGCCAGGATCCAAGGTTCTTGTATTTTTTAGCCAAAGCAAAATACTAAAGTTATGAAGTTATAAACAAATAAACAGGTATATTTGATGATACTTCTCTAACATTTTCTTATTCATTGCAGGAAATCAGTCAATGCTGACATGAACATTGTTGGTTTTTGTGTGTTTCCTACAAAACAAGCTGTGAAATTTAACTCTCATAGAGTATATCTAAGTTTTAAGCTTTTGGCAAAAAGACTTTTGAACCAGTTTACACTGAGCTGAGAATATTTGCAATATGTTATTTTATATGTCCAAAGTGACTGTTTCTTCAGTCTGAGTTGTTGATTCTTGTAGTCTTTCATTGCCCATTGCCAATGTAGCTTCAATCACAGGTGGACTCAAATTTGAGCCTAAACCTCAAGAAAAGGTATTCTGTTTCTGGTCTTTTGGTTTAGTCTATAATGACATTATGATGGAGCATTATTTTATCAAGCTTAATTGAATGGCACTTCATAATCTGACAACAGAATGTTGATGTCAATGTTTGCAAAATGCCTTTTCTTGCAATTCATAAAGGTTCAATGTCAATGTCAAAACAGCACTCAGTATCCCAAAAGGCCTTATAATGTCTACACTCAGCCATAAGAGGCATCATGGGGTGGCAAAGCAGGTTAGAGTTACCTGCCCTTGGTTGAAAATTCACATGTGTGGATGTGAGTGTGAAAATGATCCATGCAAGGACCAGAAACATAATGCTTATCTTGACCTCATATATTCTTGTTGAGTGTTTTCTACCAAACGTTTACCAACTTTGTGTTAAATATTTTTCTGTGTGGCCCATTGAAGGTTAATTATTGTATCATTGCTTTGCCTCACAGCACCAGAAACTGAAAAGATGTTAGTGTCATTTTGTCCAGTTTCACTAAATTGTAGACTTTTGATCTATCCAGACGATGAATGGGTTAACCTTGAGTATACCTGTATGCCTATATGTGTATGTTATGTATACGTGCATGTGTCTGTATGTTATGTATATCTACATACAAATGTGTGTATGTTGTGTATAAATGCATGTGTATGTGTGTATGTTGAGTATATCAACATACATATGTGTGTATGTTGTGTATAAATGTATGTGTGTATGTTATGTATATCTACATACAAATGTGTGTATGTTGTGTATAAATGCATGTGTATGTTGAGTATATCAACATACATATGTGTGTATGTTGTGTATAAATGCATGTGTATGTTGAGTATGTGGATGTGTGTATGTTGAGTATATCTACATACAAATGTGTGTATGTTGTGTATAAATGCATGTGTATGTGTGTATGTTGAGTATATCTACATACAAATGTGTGTATGTTGTGTATAAATGCATGTGTATGTGTGTATGTTGAGTATATCAACATACAAATGTGTGTATGTTGTGTATAAATGCATGTATATGTGTGTATGTTGAGTATATCTACATACATATGTGTGTATGTTGTGCACAAATGCATGTGTATGTTGAGTATGTGTATGTTGAGTATATCTACATACATATGTGTGTATGTTGTGTATACCAACATATAGATGGAAGGATGTTGTGTATACGAACCTATGGATAGATGGATGTTGTTATAACAAACTATGGAGCAATGGATGTTGTGTATACCAAAATATGGATAGATGGATGTTGTATATATGACAACCTATGGATAGACAGATGTGTATACCAACATATGGGTCAATGGATGTTGTGTATACCAACATGGATGTGTACATGGATTGTGTATAACAACGTATTGATGGATTTGTATATCGACGAGTGTTGATGGATGTTGTATATACCAGGGATGGCAATTTTCCACTGATCCGCGGATTTCCACAGATTTTATTTCAAGTTGTTCAATTGTGAATCGTCTAAATCCATTGAGAAACCCTCAACTCGATGACACAATATTAAGTTTTCTGCTGAAAATAGATTTTCCTGTTGCCATCCCTGATATACATACACATGGATTGATATAAGTTGCGTATACAGACACATGTAAGGATGGATGAATGTTGTGTATGCCTATGTATGTATGTGTTTATGCTGTGTATACCCTCTTAACACATCCACATGTGAAATTTCCTTTTATCATCCCTACCCCAGAAGAGTTAAACTGAAGAATATTAATTAGACGTTCTACTTATTCATCATGTTTAATTCTGCATAGGTGACACAGAATCAGCTTAAGCTTTATTCATTTACCAGAATCAGGTTGATTTTTAATGCATTCTTTGATCCTTTTCACAACTGAGCATTTTTTACCTCCACTGAGCATCTTATCATACTGCCAAATCTGTTTGTGTATCTGCTGTAGGAGTACATAGCACATATGGGACACCAGTCATAGGCAGGGATCATTTGGCCTATTCAAACAGTGGCATTGTTGATGTTGTACGGTAAAAATCTAGTCTTAAAAATGACACTGTTATTGTTCCTATTGTGCGCATTTGATGTTCTTTTGAACACAATTATGTTCCAAATCGCTAGTAATGACTTTCATATATCATTTTGAAATTGTAACAACCAATCCATGGTCTCTGAGAATGGTATCAAATATTACTTCTGATTCTTGGTCAGACAGTGGCCATGTCAGGTGGGCATCAATGTTTAGAGAAGCAAAAAATGTGTTAACTTAAGCTCATCAGTTTACAACTGATCACACTGCAATAAGTTTTAATCTGAAGTCAAATATTATTTCATTTACAAGTTCCACCATAATAATACATACACACCTAAGTAACTCATTTAAAATTTTACAATCTGTATTATTCTAATCTAATTATACTTATTACTGTAACAGTTAATAATAGACGTTTCAATTCAGTTTTATGAAGATAAGCTTTGTTAAACTATTACTGTAAACTATCTCCAATTGACATTGCTCTCAGAGTGAAATATACAAACATAGGAAAACATGTCTATCAGCTGGAAAATGTGTTTGATATTCCTCAGGATGAAAATGGTATTTTCACAAAGTATACCAATGAAATACACGTAAAATTATTATGGAAAAGAAGTAGATGTCTTTGTTTGAAATTATTAATCAATTTAACGTGAATGAATTTAATGTAATGTATTTGATAAAGCCCTGACAGTTTATTATATGAGTCACTGGAGAAGGAATGTAATATGGAGAGAATGTGTTGTTGTTGTATGAATGAAGACTTCTTGGTCTAGTTTAGCCTGAACAAAAACTGTGTTCCTTCTATAAGGCCACCAACACTAACTCCCTCTGCTACCTGTTATAGTCTAATGTGTGTGTTGGTGTATATATCTGTCACACATAACATGACTGAAAAGTGTGGACAGCAGTTATAAAAAAAGAAATCCTGAAATAATAAACAAAAGTACCAACCTTATCTCTGGTTGTGTTTCTGTAAACACTCAACCTGTTACAGGAGCAGTGTCATCGTTGTTTCTGTTTGCATTGAATAATACACTACAGGTAAGCACAGTGTAGTACCGTCTGTAGAAGGATGTCCCGCCTGTTCCATTATGCAATTCAAACACAGTGTTATACATAATGGTACACAAGTCAAGCACGGTGTTGTGCATAATGGTACATAAGTCAAGTACATACAGTGTTGCACAGAATGATACACAGGTCAGCACAGTGTTGTACAGAATTATACACAGGTCAAGCACAGTGTTGTACAGAATTATACACAGGTCAAGCACAGTGTTGTTCAGAGTGGTATACAAGTCCTAACACAGTATTGTAAAGAATTATACACAGGTCAAGCTCAGTGGTACAGAATTTTACACAGGTCAAGCACAGTCTTGTACAGAGTGGTATACCAGTCAAGCACAGTGTTGTACAGAATTATACACAGGTCAAGCACAGTGTTATACAGAGTGGTATACAAGGCAAGGACAGTATTGTAAAGAATTATACACATGTCAAGCTCAGTGTTGTACAGAATTATACACAGGTCAAGCACAGTGTCCTAACACAAGTCAGGCACATGACTTATGCACAGATCAAGCACAGTGTTGTACAGAGTGGTATTCAAGTCAAGCACAGTGTTGTAAGAGTGATACACAAATCATGCACTGCTTTACAAAATGATATACAACTCCAACACAGTGTTGAACTATATGATATACAAGTCAATCTTCTTCTTGTGTATGTGTGTGCTTACTATTATTCTACGAGTATTTTTAGAGATGGATACTCTTCCTGTCAATGGAACAGAGTCATCATGTGTGTTGTACTGAATGAAACACCACATTCCAGCCATTGCTCTTCTTGTACTGATTAATACACGAGCCAAGCACGTTTATTGTTATCTGTTCTTCCTGTTACAGTAAAAGAGACGGTCGTCATGTTGTGCCGATTGATGTAAGAGTCAAGCACAGTGTCATGTTTGTAGATGAACGCTCCATCTCATGAGGGAAGGGTCATCATTATGCCTTATTCTGAACTATACACCAGTAATATGCCCGGTTCAGCGGTTCAGTATATTGATTACAGCTTTGTTTAAAAGTTGAAGGTGGTCTTGTGCTCATTTTCAGTGTAGGTCAGGACATGAGAAGTGCTTTGATTGAAACTACAACAATGACTATGTATAAGTAGGTCATTCATTAAGTGTTAGAATGAGGAACTTTATAAATTGGTCTGCCAATGATATAATTCCTCAAACGGAAGTAGCGCTGATAATATGATGACATCATGCTATAGTGCATCTGCCTCGTGGACACTGGGTCATATGAACTGAGATGCTTATTTAAAGCAATGTATCATTTGATTACATATAACTAACCGTCAATTATTCATTATATAACTTAATGATTATATAACTTGCTGCAACATGGTTTAGATTGTTATCATTCTGGATATCATGAACTCGACCCATATTCATCATGTGTTATAAAGAAAGTGCCTATTACGATAGTTATCTTAAAATCACACCCTACTTTAAAGCTAAAACATACGGCACAAAACATACTGAAGACCTGTCCGTGTCCGACTATAAGCCCCATCTGAGGCCTTTGCCAATTGATTTATGTTGGAGAGACACATGGGAATTATCGACACGAGTG